TTTTTATCCTAGAATATTTTATCTCTACAAATGCTGCTGATTTGCTTGATTTTACACTCAGCTAAATTCCATTGTATCTGTTGTGTTTCCCAATTAGAATGTTAGGAATGTACAGAATTTCAGGGTGGGAACTAAAACTTAACTGAAGTGGTCATTACATAATTTTTCCCTACCTAAATGCTTAGCTATTCATTTTCTATTTAACCTCTGTGTAATAGAAATGATGATAATTAGCATAGTGTTTTTGTATTAAACATTTTCAGCAAACTTCATTAATAGCAAATCAGCAAAGGATCTGAATTTAAGTGGTTTTTGTTCACCACAATTTAAAGGTTCACTACCTGAATTCCCAATTTTCATTTAAACAAAGCTCTTCTTTATTTAACCATCAATTGTAGGAGGGAAAATCTTCAGCAGCACATTTACTTCAGCAGCAAAGTGTGTATAATTGTCATTTTCAGTCATGGTATTTTTCAGAGTTAGGATCTACTAATGGTATTCAAGCTACCAGGACTGAGTATTTCTGATAGTATTTTTGTGATCTATTAGAATATGAATTTGGAAATTACTGTTTAATTCTTTTATAGTTTAATTGGTGCAGAAAAATGATGAAATGCAGGGACATTGACTTATTAATAGAATTGATTTATTAATGTAATTATGGGATTTCGAAAACAAAATGGAAGATGGATATGTCTTGGCATTGTACTGAAAGTGTGAGGGCTGTCCAGCATAATCATTCTTGCAACCTGAGTCTTTCATTTAGCATTGCAAAATTGTGGTTTATATTTTCCAGTCATTATTAAAAAGGGAGGCAACAGTTCAAAACTTAAAGCTGTATTTTGGACAAACACTGAATAATGATCAAATACAGGGATTAACTCCCAGATTCTATCTTCTGATTCAGAGCAGGTTTTTCCAAGTAAAGCTGTAAATTTAATTAAGGCAAAGGATGAGCGATGTAACAATAAGGTTTATTGGCATAATTAATAGATTTGGGTATGAATATATAACACCTTCTGGAACTGAATAAAAATTGGGTAAATAAACAGTCTGTGATCCCTGTAGTCAGATTTGATTTGGTATGGATCTCAGGCTTTGGGAAATTGAATGTCAAAATTTCAGTCAGCATATTTTCTCTAAGATGCCTCAAAGAAAACTGCATTTATCAAGAGATTAAAACTGCAAATAGATTGATTGATTTACTTGACATATATTTCTTTGGAGGATACAGAAGTGAAACATATAATCTGAACAGTGAATGTTTGATTTAAAATGTCATTTCATGTATGTCCTTGTTCAAGAATGGTTGCTGTACCCACATAGCCAAATAGACATCATTAGAAAAAGAAAGCAGCAAACATACTAATATCTATCTGTCCATCCATCCATCCATCCATC